CGAAAACTGCCTCATCGCAACAGTTTCGCGCACCATTAAATGCATCTGGCTTCAACGAAAAACCAATACGGTTGAGCAGTTGTTGCATCTGCTCAAAATCGAAATGTCCATGCTTGCGATAATGTTTGGCGCGGTATCAATAGCTTTTTCAGATTCAATGTCACTTTTCCGGCTTGGCAATGAGGTAACCGCAGCTGCAAAGGAAATTTTTTTTAGAAAATACGAATGTTTGCACTTGATGTGTTTGTAGACCTTATAATCCTGTAATGCAACCTGTTCACCTCGAAGTCACCCAACTCAAAGCACTTCCGATCTTCCCAATGTTTGTCCAGCCGAGTGCTTCACGGTCGGGGTATCTTTGATCCAACCAGCGCCAACAAGACATGCATTAAGTAATCAACAACCCTTATCCAAACAAATACTGCACTACCGTACGTCTGGAGGCTGTTTCGACTATGGCAATACCGCCTCGACCAAGAAAGCTGTTCAATCCGACCTGAGCGCGTGCCATAGCTGACCCAATAGCTTAGAGCATGGACGTGAGCGCGATGCTATCACGACGAGCAGGTGTCCATTCCTTTTAGGATGGGCTTAGGTAGATGGCTATCTAGAGATTACTTACAAATTACCGAGCAATATTGAGCTGAGCCTTGAAGACAATAAGCGAGCAAATTGGGTAGTGCGCACGATCCATAAGCTTACAAAAGCATGATAAGTTAAACGAAGTGTGTACTTGAATACAACCATTAAAAAAGTGTGATGCAGGACACTACCAGATACCAGTTTCCCCAAAAGCTGAAATCTTAATGTTCGCACGCCCTCTCAATCTCTCAATCTCATTTTGTGATGGTGCTTTGCATGCTGAGTTGATTTCATCAACAAAAAAAGAAGTATAGAAAAGAAAGTACCTTAATTTCACGCGTATAAGGCGCACTTTTTCGAATTTTTAAGAGAGCCGCTCAGCCGCTTTACTTTATTCCGGTAAGAAATCCTTACATCGCACGATTCTCTCAAGCAATATACAGCACGTTATAGGGTCCTTTGATTGTAAAGTTCTTTGGCTTGTCTGGGCTGGTCGATTTTGGAAAAAAAATTCCCCCGCGAATTATACGCTTGAAATTAGGGTACTCTCATTGAGCAACCCCTGAAATAGCGGGTGTATGAAGTAAAAGCGGCGTCTATATGGGCTTTCTGCGAATTTCAAATCGTTCAATTTGTATCCAACTTGCAACTACCGTAACCCAAAGGTCAGCAGCTCCTGGTCGGTAATCGAATCCCAAACAGGACTGCGATTCTTCAGGATCCAATAAATCGTGTCTTACTCGATCTCCCATTTTGTTCTTATGCAACAGGTACTCACTTAACTTTGCGCTCGGACAATGATTTTACTGACACTGATCTGGATTTGTACAATTTTCACTTCACTTTTAGCACTTCAAGGGTTTTGCATGACGAACACTCAATATTTGAGCATTCAATCGAAGGAACAGTTGCAGTCAAGAGCAGCATAAACACACTAGCGCGCGAATATGCTAGGTGAATTTGTTTCATTATACCTAGACGCTATAAACTCTTTTTCGTGATTTTTGGTAAGCAGCATGACAGCGAAGTTGTTAGTTGGCTAAAAACTAGCGTGTCGTGGTAAATGACTTCTGAGATGAAAGCACTGCTCTCTTCCCCTAAGAGGCACCTATTTTAATTGTACTCTGAATAGTAAAGGGAAAGGGCAGTAACCAGAGTAGAACGTCAAAAATACACTCCTATAAAATAGAAATTTACAGCTGTAGTTGAAGAACTACCAATAAGTGAGGCATCCTTTGCACAATGCTAAAACTTTTCATGCCACATAATCTTCGTCAATATGTCGATATCAATGTCATGGAGCACATCCGATCTGCTTCAAACTATTCATATCTGTATCGTTTTTCGCAGCCCTGTCTGCAGCTAATTATCTCGGCTCAGGTTATACTTGAGCTTGGCAGTTGCTAAATGCAATTAGCACTCTTCGAAAGTAGAGGTGCCAACTAGCGGAAGGCGCGAATTGGTGATATGGATATGCTTGTGACAGCATTCAGCCATCAGCATGAAACGAACTCTGAATCCACGAAGACGTTTTTATTCAAGCCCCTCACAGTCAGAATGAGCATGCGCGAAAACGCGGCATCGGTTTTTGTGAAATGAGCGGGTAGACCACCGGGGTGGCACTTTTCGTTTTTATGTGGACTTTTTTTTCACGCCTAAGTCGCGTTTACGGCTCTTCAAAGGCAGCTGTTGCCCAGTGAAAGATGCATCGTCCAGTGAATTGCAGGTGAGTAAGAGGGCGGATGTGGAAATTTTGGTGCTGGATTGCCGTTTCGTTTTTTTTTTGAATAAAAGGTGAGGAAGTCGATTTGCGCGTTTTCTCAAGAAACAAGTGATTTAGAGAATAATACTATGCTTATTATGAAGGAAGTAGAAGTCACAAAGTTCAATGGTAGCGATAGTCGCTATCAAATATGCATCATTTTGTGCTACTTTGTTCACATCAGCATTAGTGGACAGTATTCAGTGAGAAAACCAGACGAAAGCTTGCGGATTTATGGTTGCTATCGCAGTTAAGCAGGAAGCTTCAAAAGAACTCAACAGGAACTTCTTCGCACGATTGTACTTTTCTCTGAACTATGACATTGTTCAAAACTTTCATAGGCCCTTCAGTAGTTCCGAAAATTGCTTAATTTTTTTTTCAGCCGAAGGATATAAGCATCGTACTATATTTATATCTCCAAAACGTTTTTTATTTCCTTCGCCCTTCGAAATTCAAATTTCGAATTGCCAATTTGACAATAACGCTCTGTGCTGGACATTAGTGGTTGAGTCATTCCAGCTCGGGAAATCAAATCATGTCCGATGTTAGAAGTGCCCACTACTTAATTCTGAAAGTAAAAGCTGAAGGGTTTGCCGATTCAAATAATAAGAAGCATTGCCGCTATACCGCAACTGTGAGAGATTCAAATGTGTCAGGGCTTTCCATAAGCTAAATTTCACTCTTTGTTTTACTTCTATAAAGACGTTGCTGGTACCAGCGATCTTTATTGAACATTGAAGCTCCTAGTGAGTCACTCAGGTGTTCATTCAGTGTTCAAAGAAGGATCAAATCTTTTTGACACACTGCCATTTTGAAGTGGCTACTCGGCAGTGAGAAAACTCTCTCATCAGTTATTTTTCGCTTCAGTTTTTTCGATTTTCACCCAATACACTAGCTACAATGAACCAATCGTTGCTAACAGCTTCCTAATAATTGAACGAAGTAACAGATAGAAGTTGCCAGATACTAAAACAGGCCTCTGCGAACTGATCTTCTGAACTCAAAACGTCCTCGCACAGACTTCTCTTTTCTTCCATTCTTATGAAGAATTACGAAAGAACGCCTTCCACTATGCGGTTTGCTTAACCTTGGAACGCGCGCCATGGCTTATCCCCTCAACGAGATTCTGGCCGAGGCAGCTGCAAGACCAAGCCGTGACGACGATTTTGAAATCATTTCATCGTTTTCATTTCCTCTCTCGTCTTCATTGGTGCCGCTCCTTTTCAGAGGTCAATCAGGACCTTTAAAATGCAGCATGACAAAAACAGAAGAAAGATTTGCGAAAAAGGCGTGCTCATTTTCTAACGTTTTCTCATATGCGTACAAAAAAACTGACTGAATACTGTTATAAATAGCACTCAGAACAGGCGGCTTATAAGCAGTGAATATCGTTTTTGGGAGAAAAAGCAAAGCTGATATCGCTTTTGTGGCCGAAAAGACGCAAAAATTGCAACGTTTTTTGTCGACGTTTCGTTTTTTGAGGGTCTTCTACATTTATGGTTTAAAGTCTTTGGCAAAGGGGACTTGTAAAATTTTGGGAAAGTCAAGGGGGACATTGTTTTCTGCATTTTCGGAAAGCCACCTCGTGTCCGACCCTGGTTGACGGCTGAAAGCAGCCGGCTATGAAACCAGACCATCTTCCGACAACTTCTCGTACGGTCTTCATGATCAAGCCATATTTAAAATTGGTGCATGGATTAGCACGCTATCCCGATAACCAGACATATCATGTTTATAATAGCACTGCGAATTAGAGAATCTTAGGAAAACTTCGTAGCTGCTGCTCAGTTTCACTATGTCAATGCTCAGCTTCGAATACACTTATGTACATCGCCATCATCAAAATTACCTGAGAAATTCTGCGGAAAAAATCGGCTATGATTTCATCCTTCTTTATTGAAGAGGCAGTTTAGCTTCCTGTGTTTTTAGAAAGCTAAACTTGATTACTTTGAGTGACGATTTTTCAGAACTTATCTACTAGGACTATCCTTTCACTGGTCGTAAAATACCATAACCTGTAGTCTCCCTAGCCAAACAAGATATGTTTGAGATTTGGAGTTATTTGTTCTTGGAAAATATCGCATCCACCTCGTGCTTTTGAACAATGACTTTTCTCTTCTCTTTTTGTTCCTTCCTCACAAATTTGTTCCTTTCTCTCTTTTAGTGGCAGTCGCCAGTGAATAAAACAGATGTTATACCCGCATTACTGATTACTCGTTTAATCAACTGTGTATTTGATTTATCAGTTTTGTAAAAAAAAGCACTTTGCGCAGTTTTTCCCTAACCATAGCCATGTCTCCATAAACTCGATTAAACTCACTTCTTACGTAGCCTCTTTATCAACTTATGTACTTCATTGTCAGTTCTTACTGATCTACAGGTGATGCCTATACACTCAGCGTGAGCCAAAAAAACAATATAGTGAAGCACGACCCGTTTTGTTGCTCATGCCAATAATTCGTAACCTTTTAGAATCGTCTGCACTGGAATCGCCTATCTGCAGAGAACAAACAAAGCGAAGTTCGCCAAGACTCCATAACTGGCCCTTTCTAAGCCCCTACGAACATTGCTTTGAACAATTGTCTGGGGAGTTGTGGTAGGTTTGTATGTTCAGCTCTGATATACGTTTTTGAGCAGAAAGCATAATTATCGTGAGATGCCCAAAATCGCGCCACCCACAAGTGGGCGGCGTTCATGTGGAGTGGGAGGGGCCGACGCGGTGCCGCGAACTCGTCAGACTGTAGTTGTCGCACCGACCAGCAGCGCCATGTCTTCCCAAGTCCGCGGATCTCGTCCAAATCAGGAGCGACGCAACGCAAGAGAACGCAGCCGCGTGCATCAGGTCAGTTCATTATAAATCATCCTCAAATTCCAAAAGGATATAGAATCTTTTTGCCAATTGATTATACTTTTCTTTCGTGAAAGTTCCCTAAAAATTTCATTTTCTTCCAGGTGAACCATGGCTTCGACCTGTTGCGAACACGCGTGCCCAAAGCTGGCATTAACAAGAAATTGTCAAAGGCTGACACTTTACGAGAAGCTGTGAGATACATACAGTATCTTCAAAGTCTATTACTCACCGATGGAGGGATGAATCAAACAGGTATTGCTTAATAATATTTGTATTAACATTTCTTTTCACTTCTTTGGCATTTCCTTATTATTAGTAAATAATGAAAAGACCGTGTAATTTACAGAATGCATGACGCAAATGGCCCAACCATGTTCCGTAAATCAGTCAATCTATCAGCAATCCGAGATGGAGTTTGACGTCTACTTCCCCTCCAACGCGTCCTCTATCGCATCGCAACAGACTAGTCCGACAAATTCTGTCTATGCACCACCTCAGCTGCCTCCTTATAATCACGGTAAGGTACCCTGAATTTTTTTAGCATTTTTGACTCATGCCTCGCTTATAGGTGTTCGACCGTCTCCATGATTCACTCCGAGTTTGATCTCCATCCACATGCATCTCCTCAGCAAGCATTTCACTTGTCTTTATGATCACGGGTCTATTGTGTATATAAATTTGCAAAGAATAAATATAAGAAGCTAGAAAGTGTCTCTCTTGCAAGCGAAAGTACAAACATGCTCAATGGTTTTTTTCTCCGAGGGGGGGGTCTTTTCTCTGGCACCCTCTGCTTGTCCTTGTTCTTCGCTGATTGAGGGTCGCCGAGGCTGCAGCCGCAGAGTGCAGGTGCGAAGCGGCTGTTTCTAGTTCATTCCGTGACTATCACATAATTTATGCCTGATGTGAAATGACAATTCATATCACCGGGGACTCCTTGGGCCGCCGATGATTTGCAGATTCAAAACGGTATCTGTGGTTGTTTCGCTGACAATTTGAAAAAAACCAAGTCTTCTGCTGATGTGATAGAAATCACCTACTCTGCTTCCGGCTGGCTTCAAATGCATTTAATCTTTTCTACGTTCTGTGAAGCTCGCATCACATCCCCTTAATCAATTGAAAATTGAGTACACTTACCACCACCTCCAAAAAAACCCTTCAAGGCTAAAAAATGGGTATTAGCTGACAATTAAGCGAAAAAAAACTCGACTCAGTTGCTCAGTTTTTCTTTCATCTGTAACGTCAGTCGAGCTTGTTTCTTCCCAAATTTCGAGCAGACTATGTGTTAATATAGTAAGCCAAGTATGAAACAGGCAATAAACAAAAGCGAGATTGTCATAGTCTTCTCCCATTCCCATATTTTCTGGTACTTTCTTATTTTTTCATAGTCGTCCGTTCCAATCAAGATCAGTCGTAAAAATCCATAATCCAAAACATTTTGCTGCATGGTTTTTTGTTGAAAGATGGCGAGCACATTTTTTTGCCGGGTTATGCAGAAGTGTTTCGTGCGTGTTCCAGCTTCATGAAAAAATACCTTTTTCGTCAATTTCTTGAGGTCATTTTTTATGACTTTCTCGTCGTTATTAGGATGATACAAGTTTCAAAGGTACGCTCTAGAAGAAACATCTTAATTGGTTTCTGTTAGTATATACACTTTTTGGACATGAAAAAAACTCTGCGAGGGACTTCTGCTGCAAAACTAAACTCAGTACTAGAGCCTCTAGAATGCGCGTAAATGTATGTCAACAAAATATGCCTAGTGATCCCTCCCAAATAGAGAAACATAGTACTGATGGGTAGCCAGCACGCGAACATCTGTAGCGATCACACGATCAAGCAGGAGACTACTCGAGACAAGCAACCCACCGGGAGGGCGAGTCTAGCTGCCAAAGGTAAATCACAGTCTTGGCGGTCGGACGGCCTTGATGTCTCAATTAGAGCACGCGTTTACGTGCTCGTTTACAAGCGCTGATCGATGTTTGAGATAGGCGAATCCCGCATTCCGAAAAGTGGCACCGCATTCGTAAATCAGTTGAGCACGAGTTACTCCAAGAAGTCTTTCCTGTGCCGCTAACGGAGTCATTAGGGGTCATTGAGTTACGGCAGAAACATTGGTACCTCAAGTTTAAAGTTGTCGCTGTTGTTGATTAACCAGACGAACAAGGTCCAGTTGATATGCGCAAGGTAAGAAACTTCAAAGTATTCCGAAACGCTAGACGAATGCTTCCAAGCCTATAAGCCATTCAGCAATCTCAAACTATTGTCCCCGTCAATGATTTGGCGGCTACTGTCAACAAACTTATGCAAATCTAAGTGGTTGTAAATGACGGTCGAATAAGCGACAGTAATCTGACACATCGTCACAATGAATAAAGACTTGGCGCCGACTGCAACTAAGTCCGTAATTTGCATATGAAACAAAGGCAAGGACACGCACTCACTCGCCCAGAAGAACAACAAACTTTCGCGCGCGAGTTGGGGAAGAAAATCACGGCCACATTCGGTCCAGCACCGAAGCCCCGATGACTTCCGGATTTTGAAGATGGTGATCGATGGCGATTGCGTGATGGCGGCGAGCAGGTGCTTGTCCTAGCATGATTTCCCGCCTTCGAAGAGCGGATATGAGCTCCGAAGACGAAAGGGAGGGTGAAGGGCACGGAATTTTCGCGATGCTGTGATTAGATTTTTAGTTCAAATCTGTGCCGCTCACAAAGTAAACCAAATTAGGGAGCTAGCCCGGTAAATTTTCAAAATATCCACATGTGAAAGAAAATCTGGGTCAGGAACAATCTACAATGAAGATTCCTTGGAAATTGTGGGAAGTACCCAACTGCGCCTGAGGTTATTTGTAGTTGCAGCACATAATGTTCCCTCTTTCTGTTTTGGAAATACTCAGATTTACTTGTAGACCTCCACTTGTGAAGCATTGTATAATCCACTTGTGAAGCATGGTATACGCCAATGGGGTTTTTTTTCAGCAGCTTAAAGAAAATTGGGCTTATTAACCTAGGTGTTGGAAAGAGGAAAAAAACTGTGCTAAATACTTTTCAGAGTACTTGTCTGTCCATTCCATCTGATTTGCCGGAAGGATGATATTTTATAAAAGTTCTCACTACTTTTGATGCAATCTAGTGTTTTGTTGTACTTTTTTGAATGAGACTCGAATGTTCTCTATGCCATTTCACTACAGTTTTCTTTGAGCGGGGAGGGTTCCTCCTTAATGTGTTAATGGAAACAATCAGGCCAATTTCCACTTGTACCGTACTCTCCCAACTGTGTTGTCTATGTGCGCATATAGTAGCACTCGCGGCTTACCACCTGTTATCCGCTGATCCTCAGCAGCTTTGGAGCACTTAGGTACGGTAGAGGTATCGTTTTTCGGATTTATGAGTACGGCAAACATTGCGTCGCATGTGCCACTCTAACAAACTCAATCGCTAACGAGGTTATGTAAGAGCCGTCGTATTGGATGACGTCGTTCCGCAAGGGTTACCACGGGTCATCAACATTTTGCAGAATTACCGTACGTGCCCATAAAGCGCAGAAAAGTAAGCGTGATAATCTAGCATTTAACGTTGCTAGAGACAGATGCGAGTTATTTTGACGCTGATGCTGTAACTTGTATTGCTTTGCGCGCGCCAAGCAGCATGCGGTGTCCTTACGTTTCCTCTTACGCAAAGACTTGCGCGAGCCGCAGTTACGGTTTACCTCAATCGCGGTTTCTTTGGAGATCAGCCCACCACCCGCAGTGCATCAAAAAGTCGAATGAATGCGCTATTAATTGGTTGTTGCGGTCAATCGGCAATCAAAAAGAAACTGCCGAACTTAAGGATTTTAGCCAGGAGCTAGGTAAGCATGTGCAAGATCGCTTTAGTATAGCTTTCGGACAAAGAGTCTTCAGTCAGTCAGAACACCTCTTTAAAACGTTGATGATGATGAAAACATCCAGGAAAACATTAGATCCAGAAAACATTTTAAAAAACGCAGGGATTTCTGGATTCAAAATATATCTTCTTTTACTGCATATTATCCGCACATTCGGATTCGGAAAACCAAACCTAAACTCAGTAGAGGCAATAGCGTATTTTCTAGCACTCACAGGTGATTGAAAGCCATACTCGCAGATTAGTTGGGACATACTACATATTGTCGCGCATTTGCAGTTAATCGTTCGGTTTTGAATTCTTCTGGGTACAGCCAACTCAAATGAGCCTAACCTCCGCATTTACACTGTCAAGCAGTACTTCAGATGCGTATTGTTATTAGCCATATCCGTAGGTGAATGAATTCTGATCATTCATACATTTACAGTCAGGTTATAGTCCTTGCAAATGTCCACTTGAGTGTGACGGATACCGTACAACAAACGACATTCCAAACAGTTCTTTCTATTCCAAGTGTTGCACTGAGTGTGTCGAACACCAATTTTCGCCCATTTATGTGCATTGCGAACCCAGCAGGAGATTTTCAAACCACTCAATTCAATGAAAACGACGACCTCATTCGCCCTGATGACGCATTCTAGGAAAAAATCGTGTCCAAATCGAATCACCTCCAAGATTCCCACGTCCATTTACCGAGCACGAATAGCGGTGCGCTTACCATATGCAGCCTGGCGCTGCAATTGTCTCGCTTCGATAATGTCGAGTTTTTGCTTGTTCGGCTCAGCCAGAACAATGTAAGGTCAACCGTGTTCCGATCACTGCGGCAACCAGCAATCTGTGAACCAACGAAAACGTCTAATGACTGCGCGATTTCGGCAAACAGCTAGAACAGCAGAGATGACGAATGGAAAAGCAAGGCCTTTCCTGGAATGATGACCTCAGCACAGGCGTTGCACTTGATTCCTGACGGTAACGTATGTTCGCCGTTGCGCAACGACGGCAATTCGAGATCCACCAAAGGAAGCCGCTCACGCTTCAGCGCCGTTGCTGAGACGAACACTTGATGAGGACACCATCTGAGCCTACCGGATTGCGGAATTGCACCGAATGACTGAGAAAAGAATGCACGTCAATGTCGGTGATTGAAAAATTTAATACTAATTCACTAAGAATGTGCACCATTTTGCTTCCACATCCCCAGTAGAGTACTGAGGAGAAGGCTGAGGATGCCATAGCCCCATTGACACAGAAAAAGTTTTCGGGGTAATTTTTCTCACCTCTGAGATATGCAAACCACTGCAACTTTTTCGCAGCTGATTTCAATTTTCACTCCAAAAAAGCGCCATCTTCTCTCATCGATGACATGCATACTCGTTAGGGGATCAAGAACTTTGAGTTTGTTGCAGAAGCATGAAGATAAACCAGAATTTTCTGTCATTAGAGCACAAATATTTCCATTTGAGGGTTCGATTCCGTGGTTTGACGTTGCTTCAGGGCTCGACGTATGGATGACAAATTCATACAATCAAATAAAACATTAAAGCATTGCTTGATAATGTGCTAGTAATCGTGAGTACTGCAACGAAGACTTTGTAGATGGAAAGATTGCACTACCGGCTTTCTATTTGCTACACTTCTTCAACAATCTATGACCCTTTGTGTACATGTAGTCAATCACATGCAAGTTTTGCAAATTAATTCACTTTGCACAGTGTCCTCTTGGTCTTACTAGATAACTGTTGAGCATTGATGTAGCTATAGCCTCGTCAACTTGTAAGTACTGCAAATGACTGTCATTATACTGCAGAGACCGTTATTTTAGCAATGGACAGTTACTTAAATGGCTTGATTTACGCATTCTTTGGTTATGCCCCCTCTTTCCTAGCCGACAACAAGGAAAAGTCTGTGACTTTTGAAGTAGAAAGGAATCTATAATTACCAATAATATATGAAGAGATTAAATGAAGTAGGGAAGACATAAAAAACGCAAGTATTGACATCAATCTACACATTTTTTCTCTACAAAAGACCCTACTGGCTATAGGTTGACCGAGTTGTACATTGTGACAGACTACAAATCTTCTGCTTCCTTCGTGGTACCCATTTTTCTGCTGTGTGGTAAGTGCAGTATTTTTAGTCACCGTAGCCGATATGCAAACACAGGAAGTCACTGTAGTGAAAGTCAATGAGGGTGTTGATTGGTGTGTTTGCGATCAGCGCACGGATGAGCCGATCGTCAGCTCATCGGCCACGGTTGCAGCTTTCAGTCAACATTCTGTCGCATTAGTTATGTAATTGCAGATGGTGGCAATACATTGGCGATTAAGCAATGCACGTGGTGCGTGCCGGATCCACAGGGATTCCAGCACTATTCGGGAACGGTCAAGTGTGAAATGCGGAAGAGGTGAGGAATGATCCGATTCGGTCATTCATTGGGTGCACTGACCTGGGTGTATGTCAAGAGGCGCGGTTTTTATCGCCAGCTAGACACCAAATAGCAACTTATAAGTGTTCTGCAACTTTCTAGAAGTATATGAATTCTAGAAGAAGACATATTAGATAGTTGCATGAGTTGTTCAATCTTGATACTCTCGAAAAAATCCAAAAGAGCAAGTTTGAAGGTCAGAAACTCATGAAAACGCATTTCAGAACAAATTCGTAAATATTTCAGTCTGATTTACAACAAAAACCATGAAACTCAGCAAGTGGTGACCTTAGACAGATAGTAAGCTAATGTACTTTATCTGGTAATTTTTGAAGACTTGCATAGCACTAAACTGGAGATTGAAGTTGGTGACAGCCAGAGAAATCGCGCCTCTTGACCGTCTCCCCACTGACCTCAGTTGTTTTGATTAATCGCTTCGACTCCAATCAACCTGATTGTTCCAATTATTATGGTTGCATTCCCATTACCGCTCAGCCAAGTGAACGGCGATTGAGCGCAATCGCTTATCTAAGTATAAGTGGGAATTAGATTCCTCCAAGATTCGGAATTCGAGTAAGTATTGCACTGTCTCATGCAATGTTTATAGTAGCCAATGTGAACTTCGTGAACTGTCGTTTTGCTGCAGTGATTTTGATACAGGCCATAAGAACCGGGAACTAGCGGAATTCCAAATCTGTTTCTCTTATCGCAGGCTTTGCTTAAGATAATGAGCATTTTTGTTGCAAAAAATTGAACTTGCAATTAAGTTGCAATCGATTATACATCAATAATCTAGAGCACAAAACAGAAGTTCCAAGATTTACTCTGATGCTGTTGCTCCATTTAAAAGCATGGAGAACTGTTCTGAATTATCTTAAAGCCATGTAGTCATTTTTCAATTTTCAACTTTCCTTCAAAGGCGTCCTGCAGATGAAAAAGAGAATTGAAAAATAGCGTGCCATGCACTCAAGACAGATATGTCTGATCCGAAAAGGCTACTTTGTTTGAAACATCTATTTTTTATCGGTCATTTCTAATGGCGATCCCAGGATTTCCATCCGGGAGGGACACGGGGGGGGGGGGGGACGCCCAAAAAATTTTTCCTGTTAAACGCAGTGTCCGGGCAAAAACTCGATTTTGAGATTTTGTGCTTAACCGGGTCTATTCGCTATGAATCAGAAAATGCACACTGGAGAGTGCGAAATCGACGAAAAAAGGCTCTTACACAGCAGAAAATCAGCAGGTGGGCGGGGTCCTCCCCACTGTGAGTTCGCGCTCCCAGCTTCCGGAGCGATCTTCTCGCTTTCAGTTTCAGGCCGATCGTTTGCACACAGCCGGTGGCGATGTTAGGACGGCCAGCGGAATCGAAAGACCGCTCCAGAAGCTAGGAGCGTGAATTCATGTTAGGGAGGACCTCGCCCACTTGCTGATTTCCGTACAGCGTTAGGGCTCTTTTCCGCCGTTTTCGCGCTTTCCAGTGTGAATTTTTGGATTCAGCATGGCGAATAGGCCCGGATAAGCACAAAATCCCAAAATCGAGTTTTTGCCCGGATGCCTTTAAGGTGCGCGGCGTCAGCCACGCACTGCGAAAAGTTTTTTGGGATGCTTCCAAAATTTTGTGGGCCCATGGCCCAAAAATTTTAGGAAAAGGGGATGTGGCACCCACGTCCCCGAAAAAATCTTTCACGAGGCTAATTTCAGATTTGAAAAATTTTAACAATTAGTATGATTATTTACATGTATAAACAAATCACTTGAACATTTCCGTAACCCATGTAAGTACCTTTCAAAAATCGCGACCCATTGGGGGAGGAGGGGGGGGGGGGGGGAAAGAGGGCGCCCCCCCCCTTCCTCACCCTTCCTTCGGACCTCCACTGTTTTTTCACCATATTCTCAACCGGGCATTTTTCGGGAGAGTTTTAACTTTAGATCTCAGCCTTCAACAACAATTATTATGTTATTGTGCTTGCAATATTCTTCTAAATTTTTGCTTCAAATGAGATCATCCTATCCTGAGAAGTACGCAACTTTCCACGCATGATGCTAGGATAATTTTTTTATTCTGCGAAATATTGTTATATACCCTTTACAAGATTTCATTAATTTGTGCTCATAAGCGAAATTTATTGTAATTTGGTCTGACCTGCTCGACTTGTAAAATTTGTGAAACTTATGGGGTAAGATTATGTCCAGCATACCTGGTTTTCGAAAATGAAAATAATGCATTTCTATAGAATCTCCATCACCTTATTCATGTCTCGCGGACAAGAATGATTGAGCACATAAATCAATTTATTTGGTCATGAGCATTTCCTTCACCGGAGTTTAGCTCAAACGTAAAATTCCACAAAGAGCCTTTCAATAAAACACCGAATATTTGGAGAATCCAGCTCTTCAAATGTGCCATGTATCCCAAGTCACTTTGACTGCTGAATTCTATGTTACGATTGTGTTCATTGTGCTAATCCCTTTTACAGCCGATAATGCCACGGCGCTGGCTGAGCCACAAACGTCAATCTCTCAATGAATTCCACGCTGGATATTTATGTTATATCAACAACAATTAACACAACGAATGCGGAGCTATAAAATATCTCAATGTACGCATAATTGCGTTGATCGAGCAGCTTAACGACAGATACAACGATTACGACCAGTTGCCCCATGCATACGGTATCAACTTGGACGCGTGCCAGTTACATGGTCACATCCGGAAAATTCTGATGCTATCAGCAGTTTGTGTGGACTGCATGTGTTTTTACGATCACTTTGATTGTCAGCGATTGCGCAACGGAGCCGTAACGTACGCATTGAGGCGTTAGCGCAATCAACTCACTGCGATTGCGTTCTCGGCTGAAATTAGGCGGCAATTAGTTTGTCTTAGCTGAGGCGAACGTATTGTCGAGACAAATGAGATACGCACCTGGTTGAGCTGTGCGCACCAATTCGCTGCTTTTTTCTGCGGATAGCTTGTAAGAGCGCTTTCGCAAAAGGCCTCAAAAGCTCGAGCAGCTCGAGTGATTACGGGTCAATTACAGTCGATTATGCTCTTACCGATACAGGATGACGAGCGACAGATGAAGCCTCTTACAGCGGTGCGCCTTTTTTGAGCGGCTAATTACGAGAGCACTGATTAGACCCTTTACACCACCGACCCCTTCTGCGTTACCTCTTCAGATGCTGTAGAGAGCATTCGTCACTAGGTTTGACTACCAGTGGGGATGAATGACACATGCGCGCATTTATGTGGTAATCTTCCATCAAACATTTGAGTCGCTGCATCAGTGGGAATTTTTACATGGTGAATTTCTAGCTTCAAGAGCTTGTAAGCAAAGTATATAAAATTACATGAGCAAAATTAAACGTTCCAAAGCAATTTGAATAAGATTCATTTCTAGAAATTAGCGAAAAGCTTCATAGAGCAATTTGATCTAAATTAGCGAAAAGCTTCATAGAGCAATTTGATCTATCTCCTGACTGTCCATCCACACCAGGGAAACTTAAATATTGAAGCATGTCCAGAAGCATCCCGACGACGTATTGCTCCCAATTTCACATTAACCATATGATCTATGGAGATCCGATATATGATCTTGCTCTAGAAAGCTGGAAATCTCCAGATAACCGCTATAAATTGAGGTCGCCTTTTCCGGTGCACCTGTTATGGTAAGTGGATCGCATAAATCATCTTATTTGACACAAGACAATGAGAAAAAATCGTCCGCTAAACCTACTGACATATATTAGCCTTTATGTTGACAACACCAAATACACGGTCCTAGAAGCAGGTCAAGCTATTCAGACAACATTTAATCGCGTCAACTCAACGCACTAGTTATGTCAGCTCTACTCTCAATAGAGCGATGGGTGAAATGAGGAAAGAGGGAAGTGTCTCATTATTCAATTCTTACAAATTCTTCTCGAGAGTAGAGAATGGCACGTCTATATGGACGCAGAAATGAAGAATAATGAAGCAGTTCAGCGTAACTTCTCCGAAAAGCCGGTAAACCGATTTAATGTGGTTTTCTACAGCAAAAATTCATAGCTTGTAATTCTGTTCAGGCTTGATATCTTTTCCATACGAGATGTCCTTTCCGCTATTCTACTTTTGAAAGCTGTTATAACCTTTTAGTGAAGTGGCGAAAGACTATTAACGCTTTTTTCAATATCTTACGACTTGTGCAATCAAAAGATCTTTTGCGGATAGTGAATAGCAGCGCTGAAAGGCTCGCAGAGTCTATGCTTGAAACAAAAAAACTATACTGTCACTTTAGCAACGAAACTTGTTGAATTATATTTGCAAACATTTATCTAAACGGGTGCGTGGCGTTAGGTACCCAGCCGAGGTGTGGGCGTTAGGCACCGAACCATCAACAGTATACACTAAGCCACGCCCCTTGGTTGCTTTAACAGCGGGTACCTAATGATACACTAAATCGTAGCTGCTAGAACAGCTTACCTAGCTTGCTGAAGTGCTGGCACCTGCGACCCACGGAAAAAAGACAGTTGGAGGAATCAAAAAAAATTGCGGAATGAAAGCGTAGTTTTGTGCACAACGTTTTTTCTATTGCTTCTTTTTTTCAATTTTGAAATCACAGAGATTCGGTGATGAAAGTTGAAAACAGGGTAGACTTTTATGAGCACTCACATAGTCCTGCAAAAAAATTGTGATAATCTGATCTAGCCGATAATGTGGTAATTTCAAAAAAGAAAGCTTTGGAGAATTCCAATAAAACAAAATTCTATGATTTTGACTAAGCAAAGCGTACTTTCGGAGATTCCTGGCAGATAAGTTGCATGGAATATTCCTTTCCCATAATATCGTCGCCCTCGTTTTGAGGTGTGAAGTCAAGGGTCGCAACCCATTAGC